ACTTTAGCCAGGAATATAGAAGCTTTTTTACTAGGTTTTTTAATTTCAGTTTATTGATTACTAGCTACTTTAAGAGACTTTGAAGACTTGCCCTTAGCACCTTTAGCAGATTTTTCAAAAATTTCAGTTGTTGAGATGATTGGCTCTACTACATAATCAAAAAGAATTTAGATCAAATCATCCTATTTATCCACTTTCTTATCTCTTGAAAAGAGATTCTCTTCTGGTTAAGGTGGGATTATTTTTTGAGGAATAGTTAATCCCTTTAAGACCGTTTCTGACATATTGAATATGAATATTTTTGTGGCCTCATTAGTAGGCAACTCATCTTGAAATATATCAGAAAATTTTTCAATATTACCTAAGTTGTGTTTATAAAACTTGACTATAATTTTGAAGCAGTTGAGAATATACTATCACTTTTTTTTACCTTTTACTCATACTTGTTTACACTCAGTAATATTTTCTCTAATAGCTTTTTACCAAAAATATTATTAGGTAATGCCTTTTACCATTATCCTTACACTAATCAAGATATTTTTATTATAGAAATGCTTTGCTAATGGTTCTGATTCTACTACTTTCAGCCCAAGATGCAATATGGTCAATTATAAATTGAATAGAACTAGAAAGCTGGTTTCATATTATTTCTACTTTTATTTTAGTTAGTGGAATCTTATATGACTTTTATCCTAAAATATCAAGATTAAGCAAATATGTCATAAATGATCCTGATATATCAGGATGCTTAAGAATTCTCCCAACTGATTAAAATATGTGAAATTACTTTTACAGTGAGAAAAATATCTAAATATACAATATGTCTATCCCCTATTTTCACTTAAATTAGAATATCATAATTACTTAAAACTATGAATCTGAAGTAATGATCATACTCTTGAAATTTTAATCTCTTACACTCAATCGAGATATAATCTTCTACACTGCCTTACACTAAATTACCGGATTTTTTACTATATAGAAATTACATATAAAATCCAGTTTTTTTTACAATCATGCAAAAAAAATTTTTTATTAATAAATTGACAAAATTTTTTTATCAAATAAAAGCATTGCATTTACATTTCTATTATTTAAAATTTTAAAATTTTCGGACTAGTATTTAGTGTGCCCACCCTTGGCTTTAATTACTGCTTTAACCCGGTTAGGTAAACTTAAAATTAAGTGGTGTAATGTTTCTAAACTAATTTTTTTCCATTCTTCCTTCACAGCGTCAATTAACTCTTGTTTTGATTTAGGTAAAGGCTTTCTTTTTCAGACCTGATAGCCTAAATAGTTCCACAAATTCTCAATCGAATTTAAATCCAGACTTTGCGCTACCCAATCTAAAATTGGAATATTATGCGTTGACATCCACCAAACACATATAAAGATGTATGATAGGATGCTCCATCTTATTGAAATATAGAACCGGGATAATTACTAACCCAAGGTATAAAAAAGTTAGCAAAAATATTAACATAATCATCAGAATTCATACTTCCTTCTACCACAACCAAAGGTCCAACTTCATGCCAACTGAAACAACCTCAAAACATCACTGATCCTCCACCAAATTTAACTGTAGGTTGAATACAATCTTGATTATAAGCTTCTCCGAAACTCCTCCAAACTCTTACATGACCATCCGATTCAAAAAGAGCAAACCTGGACTCATCTGACTATACTATTTGCTTCCATTCCTCTTTTCAGTTACATTTTTCCTTGCACTATTTAAGTCTGTTTTTTCATTGTTCAGCAGTTAAACGAGGTTTTTTACAAGTAGCATAACTACCCAAACCTTCATCATAAATGTATTTTCTAACAGTATTATAATGAACTGTGATGTTAAGACTGGAATTTAAACTATCCGTTATATTACTAAGAGGAGCAAACCGATTGTCACGGATAATGCATTGTAAAACCCGATTATCCCATTTAGTAAGCATTTTTGGATGGCTGGGACATTTCTTAGGTCTGTGAAACTAGTTTCATTGTATCGTTTAATTGTATCATTTACTGTACTGGGGGAATATTTAGTTGAGCTGAAATAATCGTTTGTTTAGTGCCACTAAGATATGCATCAATAATTCTTTCACGTTGTATATTTGACAACTCGTTTCCTCGCATTTTGACAATAGAAGAGTGACAAAAAATAATTTTTTTTTCGCGATTGTATTTTTATATGTACAATGGGATAAAAATGCCAATTGTGAAACTGATGTACTAAATCACATAACTAAAATCTGGTAATTTAGTGTAGGGCAGTATATAATAAAAGACTTTAGATAATTATTTGCTTTATACAATTCACCACTGGCTATTCCCATCTCATTCATAATTATAAGCTTACATTTTTAAATAGTACTATTAAATTTTTCAAGAATTTTTCTAAGATCAGAAGTTGAATATATAAGCTCTAGACCAAATAAGCTTTTCGAATGAAATCGATAATAATGTTTTTTTCACAACATGATAAAGAATGTAATATAAGAATAGTTTTAGGGATTTATGCTAGGATGCTAAACTAGAAATATGAACTATTTTAGAATATATTCAGAAAGACTTTTGTTCTCATTACACCAGATATTTTTGACATGCTAAATGATTAGCATAATTAATCTAAGAAACTGGTTTAACCTTGAAATCTAAGAAAAAATTAAAGAATTTAATTTTCAGTGAAATGGTATTTAAGGGTATAATAGAAAATCAATATTCATATAAGCAATCAAATGAGTATTAAATCCATTTTCTATTAAAAATTGTAATTTTATCACTTTTCCACCTAACTCGATAATATTAATGGTTAATTTACTGAGATCTAACTTAGATCCCATATTGAAATATAAGCTACCATCTGATTTTTTATGCTTAAGTATCCATATTTTCATTTTCTTTTAGACACAAATGATCATTGCTTGAATTGCATTATACACTTCATTATGTATAAATCTTTTCTTGGAGGTATACATAGATATTAAATTCTATCATACAAATAATTATTAGGATTAGAAATTTTAGGCTGAATCTATTTCTTCAAAATTAGAAGCTTTTTTTCTCTATCTAAGGCTGTCTCGCTAATAGTAAGCTTTTTTAAAGGCTTCTTTTCTTCAGACTATCTATCTTGATTTGCGCGATAATAAAAAATGTTGTATGATTTTTTATTTCATATAATGTATACATTTTTATTATCATACTTTTAATTACATAATAAGCAGTATGATAAAAAGATAGGTGATAATGAAAATTTGTTAGGAAAATTTTCAGATGAGTATGTGAGACTATATCCTCTGATGTTAGTTTCTTGAAGTAATATCTCTACTAGTTCAAATTCAGTATCAGTAGTGACATTATTTATGCTAGAGCATCTCTTTATTTCTGACTTTGAAATAATTAAGAGAAGACTTTTTGCAATTTCTGATTCATTAGGCAGATAAAATATAAAGTCAAAGATTATTCCATCTTTTGAGAGAATAGCTTTTTTCATATGAACATGTTCTCCAATTTCCTCAACAAATTTAAGCATTTCAACTATCTGCAAGAAAAATAATCATTTATTTGTAATATTATCGATAATACTATTTTCTTATAACTCTTCTGAAAGTTTTTTATGAACAAGATCAGTGAATACTTCAGCCTAGGTAATGTTTGAAAGTCTTATGTCAAAAGTTAATACATGAAGAAATATTTTTTTTACATCACTACTTTTGGTAATATTTATAATTTTTTATTCCATTTGAAAATATTTCTAAGCAAGTATTTCTAAAAGCGTTATAGAGTAAATTTTTTACTTATTTGTCTGAAAGTTTGAGAGTAATAGTATTTAATGTCTTTACTAGTAAATCAAAGTTTATGACAGGATAAAGTAGCTTATCCTTATCTATAAACTCATATAAGGAATAGCCTTCCCAATCTGAGAATATAACCTTTATATTATCTTCATTGTCTATACTAAAAAATTTTCTTGGTTAAACACTATCATTGTAAATTTTATGTAGGCATTGACTTACAGTATATCAGATGTTTTAAACCCATAATAATATAAGGCAGAGTATGAGGAACTCTAAAAGCTCAGATTTTATTATTTTTCAAAAGATTTATAATTATACTAAAACTCAAGATATATTATTCATAAGAAAAAAACTTTAAAATAAAATTAATTTCTTGACAATTATTTTATAATTGTCTATATATTTTTAAGACTAGAGAAGTATGCAATCAGCCTTACTATTACCCAAAGAGATATAAAATCCATCAGAATTCTTGGTAAGTTTCTTGCAAATAACCTGAATGTAAGGGATAAACTTGAAGCAAATATAGATTTTACAATCCACATATAAAAAAACTTAGAGCAAAAAAACACTACCATCAAAAAAAGCTGGCTGAACTAACTAAGCTGAATATATGTGAATTTTGCAATCTATATGCAAAGAAACATAGGGTAAAAAAAAAATACTATTGAAAAAAGCTGGTTGAGCTGATTAAGCTGATTGAAGGAGGTGATTCAAAATAAATAAAAATAATACAACTAGATAGGTGGGTCTCACTGGAAGTATGTTACTAGAAAAAAAAGTTAGTGATAGAACTAGTAATACAAATGATAAGCTTTTTATAAATTTTACTCTGAAAGAAGCTTTTCTTGATAAGTGTCACTAGTATTATTAGTATCACTAAAAAAATCTGAGTCTTCCTTTTTTTTATTTTTTTTATAGCATACATATACTACACATATATTAAATATATTTTCATTATATTACATATATATCCATAAAGCATTATAGAAAAAATCGAATTTTTTTCCCTGAATTTTACTACTTTTTACTAGTGATACTAGTGACATTAATTAAGAAAAAAATAAAATAGCCTAATAATCTTAACAAGTATAATAAACATATCACTAGTTTTATTATTAGTTAGTATTTAGAACTAGTGATACTAGTGATAGCTGGTGATATGATATAAAAAATCTGTCTTATTTTATATCTAATACACCTGAAAATATGCCACTAGAGGTAATATGAATGCATTCTAATAACTTGAACTTCAGAACGTAAAATTAGAATACTTATATTGGTGTAATAGTTAAATTACAAAATGGTATATTCACTGGTTAAATAAAGGACTATTGGGTAAATTTCATATACCTGATAGTCTAATGATGTATCATCAATTTTGCATTGATTGAAATCTGATTGATCTACATAATTTTTAACTGATCATTAGAATATATCAAGTTTAATCATATGACTTTCAAATTATTAAATATCAGGTTAATTCATCACAATTATTGGAAAAACATTAGCATGCTGTTAATTTACTAATTGTTCACTGAAATTTGCTTCAAAGTACCGATATTTATTGATTTACATTTATTTAATTCATAATAAATGTATTCAATAATAATGAAATTTATATTTAATTATTTATTGTTTTACAAATTGCAAATAGCATGTTATTTATTAAACAAATAAAGTTATATCTAATAAATCATATATATAATGTTTAAAATAACCATTCAAAATATTCGATATAAAAGTCTATTCAAAAAATAATAATGATTATCATTTAAAATAAATAAACTAAATATTACTTAAAAAACAAATTACCTACTTAATAAAATGCTGAAATAGCCTATTTTGAAGCATCGAAAGGTGGCTTTGAATTAGTTTTTACATATAAATTATCATCATACCATCTTTTCCTTCCTACTTTTATATTCTGTATTTTTTCTCCTATTTTGTCTGCATGTTGCAGGATTTTTTGAACCTAAAAAAAATTCATTACATAATTAGTAGAATATAATATAAATTAAGAAACTTAAATTAATTGAAAACTCAATCCAGGTAAAAAAACAGATAAGCAATATGAAAATACTATCCAGATCGAAGCACTATTTTTACTTACACTTCAAGATCGCCATACTTTGTTATATATACAAATTACATAGCTAGAAGCTTCATTTTTAGATGAACAAATTTTTTTATTCTTCTTTTTTTGTATCTTTTCTACGTTCGTCTCAGAAACTTCATCCGAGTGATAGTTTGAATTATCAATAATCTCTTTAAAACCTTTAATCCAGTCATCCTATACTATTAATATAGGTTGCATTTCCGTAAAAATTTGGTCTTTTATTTCTATCATATGCTGTATTCCTCTTTTGCGCCTTTCTTTTTTCTTTGTAATAAAATATAAAATAATGTTAAATAAGTAAGTTAATAAACTCGTAAGAAGATTATACTCACTTCATTTTGTCTGCTATTTATACCAGTTCTTTATTTATTAGCTTATAATTTTAAAAGATCTGTTGAAATTTTATATGTATCCCTTCGATGATGATGTAAATTCTGTAAAACTTTCTTCAATTCCATATCAGTATATTGGAATCGATTATCCAGTGCCTTCTTTATAACTGGCATAATATTTTGGAATATATTCATTTAAATATCAATCCATCACTCTTTATGGTCAATTAATAAAGAGTCATCTAACCTATTTAAATTTGAACAACCTCATCTTATAATAAATAATAAAGAATTATATAGATAAATTCAACAAATTAATAAATAAACTTTACTAATCTAAAAAGCTTTCTTATACTCTTTATTCATAGAATTAAAATTCCTTTGATTCATTTTTGCCCGTTGATACCATATGAAGTCAATCTTATTACATCACAAAGATTGACGAATGATTAACGTTATTAACATCATTAGCATTTTTAACTTAATTAACATTTTATTTAATTTATTTTTTTCTTATATTTTATTATTGCTATTTATTAAATTATTATTATAGTTAAATTATAATTTATCTTTTATATTTATTTTATCATTATAAAATAGTTTAGCGTTAGTTAGCAATTTCTTATAATTGTATTTTTGTATAAATAGGATAGAAATTTGTCCTTATAAAAGGGTAGAGATAACAGTGTAAACTCAATAGTTTGAGTTCAAGACTTAGAATCTAAGGTTAAGGATTGCTAAGGATACAAATCTCTACAATTAAGGAATCTCTTTCTAAACTACACATATTAAAAATCCTTTAACGTGTCAATTGTGTTTATTGTATTTATAAATTGTTAAAGTTATTTATTCGTCTAAAGTATAAACCTAAGGTTGATTGTGATAAGACTTATTTACAGTAACTTAGTAGTTTCTCGCACATTACTCCATATTATTAAGTTATAGTTACCCTAAGTTTGACAGTTGAGCGTAGAGTTAACAAATTAGTGATTCCTATCAGGATTATAATTGTCTTTATTAAACTTATATGAATATACCTACTAGTTTTGATATTCTAAAAATAATCCAAGAATATCATAAAGAAGCACATAGAAATAATTCACCTTTGAAAAAAGACGCATCTTTTGTGCAGTGTAATCCTATTAATCAAATAGTAACAAAGAATTTTAAGAATTTTTGGAATTAGATCTCTAGTGAATATAATACTACAGCATTCAGTAATTGCTCTTTAACAGCATTTAAACTTTATTTGAATAGTTATCATGAAAATGCTCATAATAATAATAAAATGACAAAAGCAGCAGTCACATTATTATATTGTTTAAATTATTACCTATACCTACTGATTTACCGTCTGTTTTACAACATTTATTATTAGTTACTCACACTACTGAGTATTTTGAAAAATCTTTTAATACTTCTATCTCACCCTTACTTTTACATCCATAACCTCTGAATTAACTGAAACAACAATGAATACTGAATAGTTAAAGAACCTCATAGATCACATGACAAAAAGTTTCAAAGATCTTGCTAAAGATATTAAAAATACACCATTTGGTTCAGGTGGACATGGTGGAAACACTACACCAAAAGGAAGTAATATTATTACGGTAAAACCTTTCTATAGGAATGATGATGAAGACCCTAATAATTAGATCAAAAGCTTTGAAATTGCTGCTGAAGCAAATAATTGGTCTAAGGCTCAAATGCTAAAAATTATATCAGGATATCTGCATGGACTAGCTGCATATTGGTTTGAAGAAAATGTCAATACTATCACTTACTGGAATTCAGATAGTAATACTGCCATAAGTTTTGTACCATTATTTTTAGAAAAATTCTCAACTGAAGAAAAGCAAAATCTATGACACCATCAATTAAATACACTTCGCCAAAGGCCTTATGAAAAAGTGGATTTTTATGCAGGAAAATTTAAAAGATTGTTAAAGAAAGTTGACTCTTCTAGTGTCTTACTAGATAAATATACTGTAAGACTTTTTCTTAATGGATTAAAAAAGAATATTATTCCTCTTGTAACATTTAGTCATCCCAAAAATATAGAAGAAGCTATTGATGCAGCTAAACAAATTGAGAGTGGTCAATATTATAAACAGCAATCTCCTATACTAACTCAATCAAGTGAAAGCAATAATGCTATTGATAATCTTACCAAACAAATGAAACAGTTATCCTTAAACTATGCAACTCTCTCCAATGCGTTATCTGCATAATTTGAAGGAAAATCTGAAAGAAGAAAGCCAAAAGATGATAGAAATCTTACAAAAGTTTAGGATACAAAGGCTTAGGATAAAAAGGATATTATTTGTTATCATTGCCAAGAAAAAGGACATTATTCAAAAGAATGTACACTCCTGTGCAAAAAGTTTAGGACCACACGATAAATTGTAAAACAAATGGTTTTTTTAAATAACTAACATTTTATTAAGCTATAAAAAGTTATTTATAATTACTTTATTGAATAAAAGCTAATTTTTTTAATATTATTTGTAAGTAACAAATAAAACATCAGAAATTTAATAAGCATCAGTTAGCTGATCATTATTAATCATATTTAAGGTACGTAACTTTTTGTAAATAAAAAAAATAATTTGTATAATTATATTTATTTAAATCATAATTATTAAAAAGCATTTAATTTATGCAACAAAAAAAAGAAACCTGAAAACCCATACAATTGAAAGAATTAATATATACTAAAGTTTCTTTAGTAAAAAAGGAATAATTTTCAATAAAAAAATAAAAAAAAAATTATTTCTTGATATTTACTTTTATAAAATATGATAAAAGTATTTATCAATATCTTGTGGGATAGCCGCGGGCTTTATCACTGCTTCTACTCGACGATTCATGCTTTCAACAAGATTTTGGTAAATTTCATCTGAAATCTCTAGCCAACATTGTTAAAGAATTTCTTCTAATTCCCTCACATTCCTTGGATTTTTTTGCTTTATTCAGATTTGACGCTTATGCTTATCCCATAAATGCTCTATAGAATTAAGATCAGGACTTTGTCCTGACTAAGGTAACCAAGTTATATCCATTTCTTCAATAAAGTTTCATGTTCATTCACTTGTGTGAATTAGTGCATTATCTTATTGAAACAAATATTCTCTATTTTGTTTTTCAAATTCCTCTAAAAATGGGACTAAATGGTAGCCAAGGATCTCTTGAATATATCTTTCACTATTTATCCAACCATCAACCCTTATCAAAGGACTTAACCCATACCAGAAAAAGCATCCTCACATCATAACTCCTCCACCACCATATTTTACAGTTGGAACAAAATAATTAATATTGTATTTTTCTTTAAAAAGCCTCTAAACTCGAATTTTTCCATCATTCTGAAATAGAGTAAATTTAGACTTGTCACTCTACACAACTTTTTTCCAGTTATTTATAGTCCATAGACGCCTTTCATGAGTCCAATTTAAACGAATTTTTTGGTTATTCTCACTTACATTAGATTTTCTAAGGGCTGTACAACTGTTATATCTCATTCATATAATGTTTTTTTATAGTTCACTTACATATTACATTTTCAGTAGACTCGATAAAAATTTCTTTTATTTTTTCAACGAGTTCACGCCAGTTTTTGACAATAATAGTCTTAAGATAATGCTTATCTCATTTAGTTACTTTCTTAGGACGTCCACTTCTATTAGCAATAAAAATAGCACCCTTTTCACAGTATATTGTTATTATATTGTGTACCGTCATTTTTCCATAACCCATTTTTTTGAAATAGCCTTTTTGGAGTCACCAGCTTCATAAAAGCTGATGACTTTACTACGTTCAAAATCTGTTAGTTCTTTTCTTTTAACCATTTTATGGAAACAACGGAGAAATAAATATAGGAGAAAAAAAATTTTTTGTGTGATGATTATCACTAAACAATATGTTATAAATAGTTTATTTTATTACACAAATAAATAAATATTTTTCAATTTATGTATCGCTATTGTAAATCTTAGAGGTGGTCCTAAACTTTTTGCATAGGAGTGTATATCTGAAAAATCAGCATATCGAAGGAAATCTAATAAAAGAGAAGCTAGTTATGTTGGAGTTTTTACCGATAGTAAAGAAGAAGAAATTGAAGAAGTAGAGGAGAAAGAAGTTTATGCCCTTACATGAAACAAACCTTATATTACTAATAGAAAAACTGCTTGACAATTAAAAGCAAAGCAGAAAACCTATTGATGAATTTATGGAAATAGAAACCCCATAAATTATTACTCCTACTCAAAAGAAGAAAGTTAAATGAGAACTATCTCAAATCGATCAAATAGCTTCCTATAATATCATACAAGATTTATTACAAATGTCTTCTTCTGCAAAAATTTGCCAGCTTTTACAATATCTAAATTAAAGATGTAACTTTGCTTAAGGGTTGAGGAAACTAAAAATTCAAGAAACAAATTATGCTAATCAAGAAAGTGAAGAAGAAAAAGAAGATAAATCTATAGCCATTCGTTATTATGTTAGAATTAAAGAAAATCCTGTTGTTGCTATCTTAAATTCTGGAGCTGCTATCAGCATTATCATCAGGAAGTTAATGAAGAAAGTAGGATTATCTATTGATAAACAGTCTAATACTATCATAGTCACTGCTAACGGAGAAAGAACTAGAACATTAAAACAAGTTAAAAAGGCTCAAATTGCTATTCAAAACCTATTAATTCCTATCTCTTTGCAAGTTATTGACTCACAAGATAAAACTTTACTTTTAAGGACGAATTGGTTTAGAAAAACTCATGCTAGCCTTGATTTCAGAACCAACCAAATTAGGTTAAGATATTTAGCGAAAACAATCACAATTCCTGTGACTTCTAGTGCAAATGAAGCTCCTGTTAGTTATCCTACTACTCAAGATCAACAATATGATGAACTAGAACAAGTTTTGGATGATTATGAGGAAGAAGAACTTAGCGAAATTGAAGCTTATATGACAGATAGTCAAGAAGAATATGAGGATGAAACTGACCTTCTACCTCTTGACTACAATTCTTAGAATGAAAAAAACCCTGTCTATTTAACTCTTGCATTTAAGGAAGAATTTGAGGTTAATCCAGCAGTATTTCTTGCTGAAACTTCTAAAGAAAATATTGAAAAATTAAAGATGACCTTCAAGTTGGACCTCTTAATGACAAGCAGCAAACATCCTTTCAAAAATTAATTGATGATTATGAAGATATATGTGCCTTAAGCCAAACAAAAATTGGACGAATTAGTTTGGTAAAACATAATATTTTGACCAATAATCATGATTGAGTTACCATAGGAGCTTATAAGTGTAAGAACCCAGTAAAACTTAGTTTTCTCAAGAATAAGATCAAGCGTATAGAAGAAAATAGAATTATCAGAAAGTCGTTAAGTTCTTAGGCTTCTCCTGTAGTTATAGTAGCAAAGAAAACTGAAGATAAATAAATCTGCATTGATTATAGAAAACTAAATTCTATTTCTAAAGATGATGCATATCCTCTACTAAGAATTGATAATTTATTAGAGAAATTCAGAGGAGCAAATTGGTTTTCTACACTTGACCTTGCTAGTGGTTATTGGCAGGTAGAAATGAGTTAAAAAGATAAGGAAAAAACTGCTTTTATTTCTCAGTTTGGTCTGTACAAATTTAACGTTATGCTCTTTGGACTAAAGAATGCACTAGCAACATTTTAAAGGTTAATAAATCATATTCTCCAAGAATTCTTATATGAATTCGTTGCTGTCTATTTGGATGATATCATTATTTACTCAACAACTTAAGAAAATTATATTCAACATTTGAAAAAAGTATTTCAAGTGATTAAGCAAGCGAATTTAATGATCAAGCTTAAAAAGTATCATTTTTGTCTACCTAATATAATGTACTTAGGACATGTAGTTGGAAGAAATAGATTACAACCTGACTCTGCAAAAATAGATAAAGTTAAAAGCTTTTCCATTCCAGTTGACTTAACAAGTTTGAGGTCTGCACTAAGATTATTCTCACATTATCGACGATTTATTCCAGAATTCTCAAAAATTGTTAAACCTTTAACTCAACTGTTGAAAAAGGAAGAACTGTTCTCATAGACAGATGCTCAACAAAAAGTTTTTGATTAAAGGAAAAATTAATTACTGCACCCATTTTGCAGTATCCAAATTTTAATAAACCATTTATCTTATATACTGATGCTTCTGAAAATGGCTTAGGAGCTGTTCTTTCCCAAAAATTAGAAAATGGACTTAATTGTATAATAGCATATGCCAGCAGAAGTATGAATAAAGCTGAGCAAAACTATGAAATAACTGACTAGGAATGCCTTGTAGTTATATGGGCTGTAAGATACTTTTACCATTATTTAAGCTCATAACCTTTTACTATTATTACCGATTATTCAGCTCTTAAATAGTTATAAACATCCAAAATTCCTAAAGGAAGGAGAGTACGATAGATCATGAAATTCTAACAATATGATTTTGAAATTAAGCATAGGCCTGAAAAACTAAATGCTAATGTTGATGCCCTTTTACGAATTAATAATGACTAAAAATATGAAGATAATACATATAAAGTCTTTATGATAACTACTGAAGAAGTTGAAGAATCAGAGGATGAATGGCATATATCTCCTAAACATAATTCTATTAACTCTATCAAAGATAATGAAGAAACATAGTTTGAGGAACAATTATTACAACAATTTTCCAATGTATCTTTAATTACTGCAGTAAGATATGAAAGCCCAAAGAATGAAATGGAAGATATATATTGTGAAAATATTAAAATTAAATCAGTTATAGCCAACCAACCTATTACCAAAGGAGGATCTCAATGTACTTTTGCCTGTAATACTGAGAATCATTATATTCATACTTATTGTAAAACATGTAAAAAGAATCTACCTTATAGTACAATTATTCATGATTGTATTATAGGATATGAAAGAGGAAAAATTCACCCTGATATGAAACAACTTATCTAGTTAATGATATATAGTGGGAAGAACCAGTTCTAGTACAAGAAAATGCATATTCTCAACTTTATAAAATGTTAGATATTATTCTCCCATCTTGTTATTAATCTTCTATCCACCTCAACATTTGTTAAAATATATTTATTTGAGTGAAAGCTGAAGTGTTTGCAGTGTGATAAACAGCTCAAAATGGATATAACACAATATAATCATCTTTTTAATTATTTACAAAACCAAACTTTACCAGATGATTTAACACTAATTCAGCAACAAAATTTAGTTAAACAATCTAGATATTTCAAAATTAAAAATAATTATTTGTATAAACATGTTTGTCAAAAACTTCTCAGAGTTATTTGATCACATGAAATGAAAGCTGTACTTTATATAATGCATAATGATTCAACTGCTAGACATTTTGCAGTGGATATAATGTTTGATAAAATTAAAGAACAATACTATTGGCTACAATTATATGAAAATATTAGAGAATATATTCGTTCTTGCGATAGCTGCCAAAGAAGAAGAAAGCTAAAAAAACACAAAGAGCTATATCCTATACCAGTCCAAGTACCTTTTTACCAAATTGGTATAGATTTTGTTGGACCTTTACCTATAACATCAAATGGAAATAAACATATCATCGTGGCAGTCGACTATTTTACTAAGTGACCTGAAGCTATAGCTGTTCCTGAAGCTACTGCAGAACAGGTTGCCTTATTTATTTATGAATACATAATCTGTCATTATGGATGCCTTACGAAAATTCTTTCTGATAGAAGAACCCATTATAATAATCAAATGATCAAGAATTTGATGGATAAATTTAAAATCAAACATCTATTATCAATATCTTATCATCCCCAAACAAATGGTTTAGTAGAATGTTTTAATCGTATCTTGTGTGAATCTTTAGCAAAAACTGCACAAGATCTAGATAATTGGGATCTACAAATTGCACTAACCTTGTTTGCATATTATACAAGGAAACACTCTGTCACAAAAATATCTTCTTTTTATCTTATACATGAGAGAAATGCAACATTACTCCTGAATGATCTTGACGATCCAAATGTCACATTGTCTAAACATTTACAAAATTGGTTGATCAATTACTACAAACTAGAGAAATTGCAAGAAATCATATTGCAATAGCACAACAAAAACAAAAAAATCATTATGATAGACAAATTGATCATCTTTATCAATTTGAGATCAGAGATAAAGTCCTTTACTATGATGCAGCTAAAGATAAACAATAGTCTGGTAAACTAAATCCAAAGTAAAAAGGATCTTACTATATCCATCAAGTTTTAATGAATGGATCGTATAAGATAAGAGAAATAGATGGAATAGTACTACGTATATCTGTAAATAGAAATCTATTAAAGTTTTATTATGATCGCCAAAATTAGAAGCCTCAGGTTGTTATATAATGAATCGAATTTCTTTTAAAATTTCTCAAAATTTTTCAATATGACGACTTTATTTCAAGAAGTTAAAAATGATTTAATGGCTGTTAACATCCTAGTGGATACTAATATTTCTCCACCTTATATGGAAACTACTCAACTGCGCAAAAGTCAAAACTACTTATAGAGCTTTATTACGAGTTACCAGGTTGAAAAATAGAGTATTAGCTTTAGCTAATGCATTTTATCTTGGATATGTAATGGAGACAGAAACTTCAAATCTAGCTGAATAGACTCAATTTAGGAACCAAATGACCTTATACTATTGGCAGGCCTTAAAAAGGACTTACTATCTTTTTAAAACTCTGGGAATTACACAAATTGGACGTATTAGGAAAATAACTCTTAAGACGATTTATAATCTTAAATCCCAGAAGTTCAAGGACTTGGTTGACGAAGCCTATGAAATTTTTGCAGGAGCTGCAAATTTAGAAAAGGAAATTGATACCATATGAAGTCAATCTTACTGTATCACAAAGATTGACAAATGATCAACATTATTAACATTATTAGCATTTTTAATTTAGTTAACATTTTTATTTAATTTATTTTTTTCTTATATTTTATTATTGCTATTTATTAAATTATTATCATCGTTAAATTATAATTTATCTTTTATATTTATTTTATCGTTATAAAATAGTTTAGCATTAGTTAGCAATTTCTTATAATTGTATTTTTGTATAAATAGGATAGAAATTTGTTCTTGTAAAAGAGTAGAGATAACAGTATAAACTCAATAGTTCGAGTTCAAGACTTAGAATCTAAGATTAAGAATTGCTAAGGATACAAATCTCTATAATAAAGGAATCTCTTTCTAAACTACACATATTAAAAATCCTTTAACATGTTAATTGTGTTTATTGTGTTTAAAAATTGTTAAAGTTATTTATTCGTCTAAAGTATAAACATAAGGTTGATTGTGATAGGATTTATTTCATAGTAACTTAGTAGTTTCTCGCATGTTACTCCCTATTATTAAGTTATAGTTACCCTAAGTTTGATGGTTGAGCGTAGGGTTAACACCGTTCAGAAGATTCAAGAGATGAGAAAAGTTGTGTTCTCTTTTTTAAATGACGACCTGTCATAATTACAGCTTGATCTCGATCACTAGCTTGAAATGTATCCTGAAGCTCTTTTAATTCTTTTGCCATATCAGAAATAACTGAACGCAACTCAGCAATTTCTATATAAATCAGATTATGATAATAGAAATTAATTGAAATTATTATCAATATATTTTTTAAAAAATTACCTTATTTGTTCCTAATCTCATTTATATTTCTGCTTCTTTTTTTAATATTTGTCTCTCACCTTCTGAATTCTTCATTATTATCTTTACTTTCTTCTATTTCTTCTTTTCTTTTTCTTTTCCTTTCTCCTTTTCTATATCTATTATTTATTGAAGTACCTTCCTTATATTGTGAAGTTCGACTCTTACTTCTTTTAGTAACACCCCTCCCTTATATTGTGAAGTTCAACTTCTACTTCTTTCTGATGATACGTCTCTTTTATAATGTAAAACGTGACTTCTGCCTCTTTCTAATGATATATCTCTTTTGTAATATAAAATGTTACTTCTG